TAAAGTAAATAAAAAATTTACTTTTATACATAATTATCTTATCTCTAATAAATTACCTAATTTAGAAAAAGTCCTTTTACAGTTAGTAGCTATAGTAGAGATACTAAAAACTATAAGAGTAAAGCGTAATAAAATAAAGTACTTATTAACGTACTTCACAGGCGAGTTGCTCACACACCTAAGTTGCTTACTTTTGCTAAGACCCTACTAAACTACTCTTCCTACACTAATGTATTCCCCATAACACTACTTAGACGTGCTAAAAGAATGTTAGATACAGCTTACGCTCTAAGCTTTTAAATAAGACATAAAACTCTTAAAGAAATATGCTGTAGCTATGTGCAAGGTCTTATAAAAAATAATAAATAACTATAGCGCTAGATAACCTTTACAAGCTAATTCTATAGCTAAATTATAAAGGCTAGGTAATAAAAAGGAGCAGGTGATTATTAAGACTATACTTAAGCTATATGCGCAAGGAATTTCCCCTTAGATAGCATTTATAGCTAATATAGCTAATTCTTTGCGCGCTAAGCATAATCTAGGCTATGTTTACATAAACTAGCCTAGTATGTTTATAAAGCATTATTTAGAGCTTAAAGTAACATTTAAGCGTAAGTACAACTATAAGAGAGCCCTTTATAAGAGTCCTAGAGTAATTTAGAGCAGGTTTAGCCTTATAGAGAATATTAAAGCTAAGTATAGCATCTAGAATAATAACATGTACAACTTTAGTAAGACAGAGTTTATAATTAGCTAAATATCTTTTAACTATACTTACGCTTAAAACTTTACTTTAAGCTTTAAATAACACTTTATAAACATACTAGGCTAGTTTATGTAAACATAGCCTAGATTATGCTTAGTGCGCAAAGAATTAGCTATATTAGCTATAAATGCTATCTAAGGGGAAATTCCTTGCTTATATAGCTTAAGTATAGTCTTAACAATTACCTGCTTTTTTTTATTACCTAGCCTTTATAATTTAGCTGTTGTCCGAACGTTAATCACAGGTATATTGATCCAACTCTGTGTGGATATCACGTAAGCTTATCTCACGTGATATCTGTGCGGGCTTGGCAGGGGGCCAGTATAAAACCAGCCATCCCAACGTACTTAGGATGGCAGCCGTCACCAGAATCAATACATTGTGTTGCCTGCTCACCTCTTGGTACGCCCCTTGGGCGTACGTTCGTTCGATCGAACCCAGGTCAACCGACAGCTGTAGAATTAGCTTATAAAGGTTATCTAGTGCTATAGTTATTTATTATCTTTTATAAAACCTTACATATAGCTATAGCACATTTCTTTAAAAGTTTTATGTTTTATTTAAAAGCTTAGAGCGTAAGCTGTATCTAACATTCTTTTAGCACGTCTAAGTAGTGTTGTGGGGAATGCATTAGTGTAGGAAGAGTAGTTTAGTAGGGTCTTAGCAAAAGTAAGCAACTTAGGTGTGTGAGCAACTTGCCTGTGAAGTACGTTAGCCTTTTTAATTTAGTAGATAATTAGAGTACATGTAAATAAAAACTTTTTTAGTATAAGTAACTTAATTATCTACTACTTAAACTTATTATAGTAAAGAGATAAGCGTGTGTTATTACTTTATAAAGTAGCTTTTATAAAGTCTAACTAGCTTCTAGACAGCCTAGTAAGCGCCTTCTTTAGTAGTAGCTTTAGTGTACTAATTAAAAAAGTAGCATTTTTAAACTTTACTTATAAGTGTTAAAAGCTAATGTAGTAATTATCTAGCTAGCTTTTATAAAAGTAAGGCTTTATGTAAAGCTTTTTATTATAATTATAAAGCACTTTTTATACCTTATCTATGTAGCCTTTTATGCGCAGGTGGAGACAGTAGGCTGTATAATATGCTAGGGTATTCTTTAACTTATGTAGATACTTATAGATCTTTATATAAGCTATATTATAAGTAGCTTTTATATAGTTTTTTAAAGTATTAATGTTATTAAAGTTAATATTATTATATTAATAAAGCATATTATTAAGAGTAGTAGTAAGCTAGGTAAGCATAGGTAGAACCTTTTATTTTACTTTTTACATACTAGCTACGCCTTTACTCTCTATATAAATAGTAGCTTTTTTAAAAAGTTATAAAAAGTTATAATACTTTATAATTATTACTTAATTCTTTATACTAAAGCTATTCTCTTAGATAAAGTAACACTACTTAAAATTAAGTAGTTATAAGTATTAATAAGTGCTTTAGTGTTAGTACTTAATAAGCTTATAGTTAATATAGTTATTAAAAAGTATATAAAGCTTAAGCATATGTAAAAAATAATTATAATAAAAGTTTTATTTTATTTTTACTAGCTTAATAATTTTTAGTGTTTTTACTTTACTATTATTATCTAATTAAGTGTTGTAAGCTACTTAGCATTACTTAAAAAGCTAGTAAGCTTATAGTGTATAGATAAAGGTAATAATATTAATTAAAACACTTAAAAAGCCTACTTACTGCTACTTATTAAAAAAAGCTGCCTTATTATTTAAGTGCTTTTTTATGTTATTAAACACTTTTTAATTTTTACTAAATATAATTTATTAAGTAGTAAAATTAATTATATAGTAGGCGTAATATAGGTGTTAATAATAAGTGTTAAAGCTATATTTAATAGCTAAAGTGTTAATAGCAGCATTATTATTAGTAGCATTATTAAAAATAAAGTAGCCTAAGTTATATATAAATATTTTAAAGCTTTTAAGCATAGTGTTAATAACAGTAGTAATATTAACACTTATATGCTAGCTTATTAATAAAGGTAGGCTTAATATATAATTATAAAGCTTACTATTACTATTAAAGTAGTAGACATAAATACTTATTAACACTTATTTACTACTTATTAATGTTTAATTATTAAAGAAAATGTAGGTAGCTACTTGCGTGTTGTGTAGGTAATTAATAATAGTAAGTATATAAGACTTATACTTAGTAATTATATAAGCTTATAAAGTATTATAAGATCTCTAGAGCTCTGTTTTTACTAATAAGTTAGCTTACTGTAACATGTTATAAAAAGCTGCGCCTTTAATTATAAAAAGCGCTTAGTTATTAGCTACTACTTAATTAAGTACTAACTATAAAAAAGTTATATATAAAAAGCTTAACATAATAAGATTAGTAACACCTTATAATACTTTAAAGCCTTTATAATAAATATAGGTAAGTAAAGAGGATTACATAAAGGATGTTATTATAATATAGTAAGTAGACTTTTTACTATTTTTTATTAATGCTATGGCTAGCTTTACACTCTTTAAGATAGCGTGTAATTAATGTAGTTAATAAATTAGCTTAATAAAAGCTATTAAGTTGCCTATAAGTATAGTAGTAATAGTAAAGCTAATATAAGCGTTGTTGCTTTTAATGCTAAAAGTAATATCTATATTACTAAACCTAGCTCTTTTAACTGTGCTTTAGTGTGTAGAGTAGCTTATAATAACTTAATAAGCATAGCTAGTTAATGCTATTATAATAATAATTATTATTATTATTAATATTACTATTAGTAGTTAATTATAACTTACTGATAAAGCTTCTATTAGCGTTAAGCTCTAGTAACGCATTAGTAGCTATATTAGTAGTGCTATTTTTAAAAACAGTTTATAACACTGCGCTTTTAAGCTGCTAGCTAAAAACTTAAATAAAGTTACTATTTATGCCTTTTATGTAATTAAGCAATGCTATATTAATAAAAAGAGTGTTAGTATTAATAAAAATAAGTGTTAGTAAAGTAGGCAAGATAACATATTAAAGTTATAATAAGTTTAAATAGGCACTAAGCTTTACTAAGTAGGCAGTAAGCTTTTATGTTAGTAGAATAGAAGACGCTAAGCTCTATTAGGTAGGCAGTAAGGTACTACCTTAGTAGCTATAACTAGGATTTACTACTCTACGTACTAGAAAATACTATAACTTTTAGTAATTTTCTAGTAAAACTTATAATATTACAGCTTATTAAGTTTATTAATTAAGTTAATTAAGTAAGTAAAATTTACTTAATTAACTTAATAAATTTAGCTTCTATGCTTAACTTAATTAACTTAATAGTATTAAGTTAATTAAGTTAAGTTAACAAGTTAACTTAATTGTTGCTAAGTCTGATTGCTAGTCCTTGTGGTCGTCAAGCGGGAAGGCTCCATGCTGTAGGTATTAACTTCTGGGTTAGAGGGGGTGAGCCTTCTATGTTCTTTTCCATCCGGTAAAGATGTGGTTTGGTTACTTAGAGACTCTTTTTATTATAATCCAAGTCCCCTTCTACACAGGAGAAGTACGCATAGCTATGTAGCTATTATATACACCATTTTTCTAACCTTGACTCACCGGTAAACGACATTCAGCTAAACAAGCGAAGGGTCCGGAATTTAAAGTTCAGTAACATTGAAAACTAGACTTTAGAACAACCTGAACATTCTCTACAGTCGAGAACATTCGTATCCCCTGTCTTAGAGACTACTTGACTTCTCATCCGCCTAGATTTTGGAAGTAGAGCGAGAGCATGCGGTCGCTATAGACTGTATTTTCTCTCATTGTTGGTGTCCCGTTCTCTAATAACCCTCCTACTAATGACTGGATGGTTCAGCATAGACTATTTCATACGCTCTCTCGCACCCGGCACAACTGCCAGGAAGAAAGACTCTGACGCCAAAGAGAAGCAATCCTTCGATCCCCACAAGTGACTTAAGGGTGCGCGTCTCTTCACGGAATTGGCTGCCGACTCACTTTCTCTGTCACAAAAGCTCAGACATAGCTTCCAGAGGAAGGACAGCAGAATCTAGGGATAAAGTGGGCAAGGACAGCGACGGGTTAGCAAATCACGATTTCTTCGTACTGAGCCAGTAGTCGAGGATCTATACCAAGCAAAGAGTAACTTGTAGCGATTGGAGAGCTCTAGCGTTCCGCGGACAGAGTTGAATTATGGCGAAACACTGTCAGCCTCCATGGACTAGCAGAGTGGTAAAGAGTGGAGTTGAGCTCGGGAGGCAACTTAGAACTGTCCTTACGCCGGCATGGCCGAGGCTGAATAACATAGATTGGGACAGGGTTGGAAACTTCCCCTATGTGGAAGCAGATGGAGTGTGGCGATTTCATGCAGACGTAAGAGGTAGCCAAGCTATGGTGAACCAGTCCTAGTCTCAGTGGGGGCGGCTTAGGAGTCACACGGACAAAGCTCAACGACGGATGTTGTCGCGTCGGCGACAAACGCTAGAGCAGGATTACACAGCTTTACTCCCGAAACGTTGATTGAGTGGGCATACGTAACGGAGCTGCGGTAGTGGACTTGATAGCTTAACGGCGGCATTGTTTAGATGTAGAAACATTATAAGATTCATATGGAATGGAGGAGACCTAGGTATGATTGGGTGGAACTGACCCTCACAGATGAAGAGGATGGGGGTAAGTCATGGTTTCAGTGAAGCCTGGATTGGGCAACCTTCACGGATTGACCGAAGGGTTGTCCACAGCATGGGTTCCCGGGCGATGCTGGTAGAGGCAATTATTGCTTGTCCGAGTGAATTGCCAATTTTTTGAAGCCGGGTATATTCTGCGATCACAGGGCCGCTGAGTCTGGCAGTTGTAGCAGGAATCTTGCTCAAAATAGAACAAAAGTGACGAGTAGCTGAGGAGCCATTCTAGTAGCAAAATGAATCCCTTACAATCCATCAGAAGAGAGATGGAAGTCGGTAGTTTGGCTTCTCGCGTGTTTAATGTAGCTTATTAAGAAGTGTAGGTAACGTTCTGTGACGATTTCGTGAAGTCCCTAAGTTAACCTCTATCCCTGCGTGGCGCAAAACCCCCCATGTCATAAATATAAAGGGTACTTTAACTTCAAGTGACTATAACTCTGCGTACACGTTGATATTCATGATAATTTGTTACAAGTCATGTGATGTGGCTGCTTTAACACATTTAGAACCCCTCCCACGAAAACATTACGTTCGCATTGCCCCCTTTGCGCCTGATGCGTAGAGAGCCTCGTTTTAGTGAGGACCTTTCTGGACCATACCCTCCCCAATGCTACGTGCCTCGGTTCGCACCCGGACCTACCTTCGGGTAGACACTCCTCACGGGACTATTTTGTGACCTGCCCTCTCGTGGTCTCTAGTCACGTCCTGCCCAACATATATCGCTATTCGAATCCTAGGTTAATCCCCTAAGGATTCGTCTTCGATATATCCTGTACTCCCCTCCCTCTCTGGGTATTGCTCCCTACCTGCAAAGTGCCTCAAGGTACCTGTGGCTGATCAAAGGTTCTGCATTCGGCGATTCGTGGAATAGTTGGTATCATTACATAAGTATTTTATGATAATCTATTTTGCCAAGCCCAAACGCTAATCTAAGAATACGGACCCTTGGCAGTCTAACGTCCTTTGGTGATGAGGAGGTGGGGAACCCAACGGAGAAAGGGCACCTCAGGGTCGAGACCACCACAGGCCAAAAACGCTGAAGAGCGCCATCCTTCAATTCACCAGAAAGAGGAATTAAACGAAAAGTTGATGTCACTCTCAACGAATACCACCGGTGTCATGGAGCATGAGCCGAATTCCGTTCAGCAGGCTTCTAGTGAACCTCAAAAACAGCCAGTATCAGCACCAAAGGCAGTAGCGACACTCGAAGAACTGAACTCAGATGCCGCAAAACAGGTTTACAAGAAAAGACTTGCGAGCAGCGAGCTCCGTTTGATCAAGATTCACCCTGGAGACGAGCCAAGTGCCGTGAAATGCTCAATCTTCAGCGTCCAAGAAGGAGACCTACCAGACTACGAGGCTTTATCGTATGTTTGTAAGTACATGTAACATTGACACCATCATATATAAGAGCTAAGTAAAACATAGGGGGCAGTCAAGATGAACCCAAAACCATACTCCTTGAAGACGTCACTTGGCATGTCACGGCAAACTTACATTCCGTTCTTTCGCACCTCCGCTTCCCGGATCGCTTTCGTGTTGTTTGGATCGACGCTCTAGCAATTAATCAAACTCACTTAGAAGAGCGCAATGAACAAGTCAAAAAGATGTCTGACATATATGCAAACGCAACATCAACACTCATCTGGTTGGGTGAGGCAACGGATGATCTGATAGTTACCACCTTCGAGCTCTTGGAGTTCTATTCTAAGCTCACAGACACTGATCAGCGGATGTGGCGAGCAGGATTCATCGCGCAAAACACTGGTTTCATAAGCAGGACTGTGAGCATGATGAATCGCGTCTTCAAGCTAGAATACTGGAAGAGAATCTGGGTCGTCCAGGAGATCCTCTTCTCTGATAACATACTTCTGATGTATGGTCAACATACTCTTACCTACGACGACTTCTTCGCTTGTATGCGAGAAATCTGCGCTGTCTTTGCAATGTCGCCTGTGGACCTGGAAGCCATACCGCAGAGATCGGTAAATCCGGAAGCCTACTTATTGGCATCTCTGGCGCATTCAACTAACCTGATGATTTCTGAAGTCATACCAGTTCGTGGAGCCGCAAGGCATGGTAAACACCTGAGCTTGCGACAGTGGCGAACGGCACAGCTGAAGCGATCTACGGATCGAAGAGACAAGGTTTTTGGCTACTATGGTTGTTTCCATCCATCTATTCGACAGCAAATCCAGGTGGACTACTCAAAGACACTACCTGAAGTCATTACTTTCATGATGCGCCTACTATTGCAAGAAGAAGGGTTGAACATGCTTCTTGGTCCCCGAATGGTTTATGACCCTAAGTACGAAATACCCTCGTGGGTTTGGTCGTTGATTGAGCCTACGACAATACCCACCGCTCGAGGTGTTCTTAGTACCATAGAAGACAAAAATCCAGGTGACTGGTGCGCTGGAGGGTCTCTTCCGAGTGTCCTTGGCTTTTCTGAAGATAGTACAGTGCTTCATGTCAGAGGAAAGACGGTCGCAACCATTGAAGCCACGGCACCACCATTCTCTTCCCCTCCCCGTAGCGTTGCCGATGACCTCTACTTCTTGGATAAGTCCTCGGTGGATCTAGACTTCATGACTTTGGTGGAACATTTTAGATTAACATGGCAGTCGTTCAACTTGCTGCCAGAGTTTCCGAGTACGCTTGGATTCATCACCGCATTCTGGCTAGGACCAACGGGACCAATACTTTCGGAACTGGCGAGCTGGCTGTGTGCTGGTGGTAGTGGAAGCTTGGAAACCACCAAAGCGGGATATAACCATCACATACTTGACAGCCTTCTATCCCTCCACTTTCGTCGGCGTATGTTCTATTTCATGCCAGCGACAGTGAAACTAAGCACGGATCCAAAAGTGCGGCTCATTGAAGGACACATTCATGGAGAAAGTGGATTAGGTCCAGTAGATGTTATGCCTGGAGACAAGCTTTGCGTGCTTCGGGGATGCACAGTTCCTGTTGTGCTTCGGCCAGAAGAGGGTCAGTACATTCTGCTTGGAGAAGCATATGTGCCTCGAGCCATGCATGGCGAAGCCGTTCGGGCAGTCGAAACCGGTGAAGAAGAATATGAGGACTTTTGGATAAGGTGAAAATGACTAAACCGTTGCTTGTATGAGTTTCACCGCGGCTTTCGAGGTATTGGCGTCTGGAGCGCGTTCTCGTACCAGAACGTTGGAGTCACCTGACGAAGCACTGAAATCCCAAATCTAAAAAATACTGCACTTTCCTTTATTTAGTCCTCCAACTCTCTGGAAAGAATTGAATGTACCGCTCATTCTAGTCTTCTTAAAATCCTGACGTTCGCTACATCACGTGCTTTAACGCTGCCCTTGTAACTGTAACAATTCTACGAATCGTTCCATCTCGGGTCGCTCGGATCCTATCCGAAGGGTCCCCGTATCGGCCCCGACAATGACTCGACCCATTCCCCCGCAGTTACCCCTATTCTCTCATGTATTTAGTCGCACCTCGCCCCCGTAGCTAGCTCAGTAGTTTTCTGATATCCTTTCGTACAAGGCCTATAGGTGTCAATGGCATTCCCAGGTTCAGAGTCCCCACGCACTCCCATATGCCTCTGAGTGGACTCCCACCGCATTCAGACCCATTGTCTTGCCTGCGCCGTTACATTAACGCACTCCATGTAGCGAAGTACAAAAGAAGATTATGTTTAGGCCTATCTTCTAGCGTTATACTTAATTAATAGTAAGTTAACTTACTTTTATGTTATATAACTTCTTTTATACGCTTTAACTAACTTAGAATACTTTTTTTTATAAGCTAGTAACTAATAGTAAACTAAGATAGCTTTTTATATAAAGTTTTTATTACGTTGCTAAAAGGTTAAACCTTCTAGCTAGCTGTCACAGTTAACTTAGACATGCCTCGGACTCTCCCCACCGTGACACTAGCATAGCAGAAGAATATATATAGGTGGATAATTGTATGCAATAGTTTTATTTACTTTTATAGCTATTAAAAAAGGTAGTAATTTAATGAAATTACAATTAATTAAAATTAAAACATTATAGAGTAGCCTAGACCTTTTACTAAAGTAGCTAATTACTTTTAGTAAGGGACTGTACATAGACTTTTGTTATACAACTGTACTATGCATAGCTAGAAGTAGTAAGTGGTTGCTAATATACTATAATATTAAAGTCTATAATAATAAAATATTACTAAGTTAGTAACTTAATTTATACTATATTTATTCTAGAAGTTTCTAAAATAACATATAAAGTACACTTAGTAAATAACAGCTAGATTTATTAAGCACAGCGAAATCTCTTAGCGGAAATAAGTGTGCATAAAAGAAACATATTTTCTATGTTATCCCTTTGTATTCTCTTCTAATCTTCTGTTATAAAACCTTTTGCTTACAACAACGCAAGACGCTAACGTTACACTAATGGTGAAGCTACAGAACACTAGACGATTGAGATTCACTTGACTCTGGTACTGATGCAACAGATAGATGCTCACCCACCGGGTCCTCGTGCCTAAGTGATCCATCCTGAGTATGACTACGTTCGTGGTCGTGTGAGGGCCGACTATAATTCGATGGCGATGGGCTTCGAGAAACATCATTGCCTGCACCTCTTCTTCGATTCCGACTCAACAACGAGGGCCAATGTTCCCTGAACCACAGGGCACCGAGTAGCTGATTGTCTCTCTCGGCAGCGGAAAGACCCGGGGAGAGATCTTCCAATGTCTTATCTACCAGGGTACCATCTTCACGTCGCTGGTCTCTCTGCACATCAGGCAAAAAGATTTTAGTGATCGGGAAACCAAGAGCCATGACGACGCTGAAGGCGATTAGGGTCCAGGAAAGTTTTACAGCTTGTTGGTTGAATGCATTCTGGTCGCTCTTTTTGCGGACACTTTCGTGTAAGATGATCCGGATGAGCACAGATCCAAGCTTGCCGCTGGCTGCAGAGAGACCGTGAAGTGTGCATCGGTAGCGCGTTGAGAAAATCTCAGCGGGGATAAGGAAGGTCAATGTGTTGGGCCCTATGGACGATTATTAGCAGTAGAATGTGTATTGGTTTGGTGTCAGCTCACCGAAATTAAACAGGATCTGGCAGACAACGTAGAAGGCAAAAGTTGCTAGCCAGTTTTTGCTTCCGAAGGTAAGCCGCATAGACACCCCTGTGGCAACCAGAAAGCAGGCGATAACCAAAAATGACCATTGAAGAAGCCACTTTCGCCGTATCCAATTCATGGAGAAGATAAGGGCAACGCTTCCAACAAGGGACCCGATCACCGACGTATATATCAATCTCCTTGAGTTTCGGTCAAGTACGTCGACAATGGTGTCGTTGGGGTGAGTTGGGTCTGGATTCCAGGGGTCGACCTTTTGGGTTCCTGTTAGGGGTAGTGCTCGATCAGCCCAAACAACAGCGAGAGTGTGAGGGCTACTAATTCCAAGTCCATAAAATACTACATCTAAGAGAAACCAAGTTACGCATGTGCCGAAGAGCAGGGTCCAGTTTCGTTCTTCCCAAAGATAGGTCCATAGATCAGACAAGGATTGGTCATTGTCTTCGGCATCGGTAGGTTGAGTGCTGGCAGTGTCGGCTGTGTCCTCGGTACCTCGTCTAGTCTCTCGCCCCTGGGATAGCTCAACTTGTTCCTCTGCGGTAAGTTTCTTCTTCCAGGGCCATAATGACTTCGGCCAAGCCCACAACGCATTCTTCTCGATCTCTGTATCGGTGTCCTTAACGGCCCGATCGATATCCTCTTGTACTTCGAGTGTATATCGACCTGGATCTGGAAGATAGAAGCGGAACAACAATGCTATCACGGAAGGAATAGCTCCAAATAGGACCACGCCCCTCCAGACACGGTCAACGGCGACACGTGAAGAATCTGTATACACAATCCCGCTACGTCTGACATCACCCTGCACGTTGTGTATACGGTCAACGATGCTAATGGCCGAGAGCCCAGCAAGAGCGGCGCAAAGTTGGCCAAGTGGCTGCATGGCAAACACAGCAGCCAGCATTTGGCCGCGGTGATGGACAGACGCCCATTCCGCCGTCAAAACGGCGCTGAGAGGGTACTCGGCACCAATTCCGAAGCCTGTGAGGAATCGCCAGCAGTAGAATGCAGTCTTCAGATTCAGGGACGGCGCCTGTGGGGTAACTGCGACAGGAGCAATACCCTCAGAGGTGAAAGCAAAGCCGAAAGTGGCGAATATGACAATGACTAGCTCCCACCCATAGAGGGATGTTCTCCCATAGATGTCGGCAAGGATACCAAACACTATTTGGCCAACAATTGAACCTATCAGAGTAGACAGGTTCATCCACAGTTCAAAGGTCGCGGCCTGGTCAGGCTTGTCGTGCATATAGACGTACATGATGGATGGAATGACCGTGTTGGTGACGAATAAAATGTACGAGTCCGTGAGAAATCCAGAAGCCGCTACGAGGAAGACGCGCACGTCGAAGCCATTCTTGTCGAGCCGGTGTGTAATGTACAGTAGCTTTTCTCCCTTCTCCTGCGACCAATCAGCTTGGCGGGAGACGGCTGGAACAGACGTTCAAATGTACCCTGAGGAATTCGTGATGCCGTGTGACATCGACCAAGTCAGGGAAAAGATCAAGTCTCCTCCGCCGCCTGGTGTGAAGTTGCTGTTGAGGTAGCCTTGTTGCGCGCTGGTTTTGCGCGGGCGGTGCTGTTGGTGGGGGTGAGTGGTGGATGCGGTCGAGGGTGACCTGACTTGAGATGTCTGGGGCCGATGCCATGACGAGCAGCAACTATTGATGTCTAGGACAGCAATAATGTGTCTAGGAAGCTGGGGTCGTAGCCGCAACACAATGAGAGAAGCGGAGGTTCCCAAAGCAGCGCCTCACGTGGGCGAGACGTGAACCCAGGGCTGCAGCCACATACATGGTCCGTGGGGGGGGGGGGGCCAAATGTGATGGGTGATTGGGACACGTCGAAGCCTCATTCTGCCCCAATAACCATCCTCAAGAGGACGTCTCCTCGTCCAGAAGGCGGCCTAACCATTCTCTTATTCCTCCCGACTCCAGTGATTCCTTCCTCGGTCGCCACTTCCCAGGTTGTCCATCCCGGCAGCAACACGCCGCCGTCCAAGGGGGGGGCATCCAGCGGCAGACAGGCTTGTTGCGTCTTGGCAATGGCCCCCGCGGAGCCGCACCTTCCCACCCAACGAGTCGCCGCTCTGTTGGCCAGCCTGTCCAGCGACGATGAACGGCTGGAGAAGCCAGTGCAGAGCCTCCAAAAGATCCGCGGAGTCCTCGCTGCCGTTGAGCTCCTTGTTGCGTGCTATGGCAACGTGTTTGGCCGTGTCCAGGTCTTCGACTCTGTCCTGGACTTCTACGAGGACCGTCTCCCGGACTGGTTGAAGGGGAAGAAGCACTCGTGGAATAGTCTCGTCCGGCGTCGATCGAGCCACGGAGAAGAGCTCAAAGCCGAAGAAGACGTGGCGGTTCTTAGCCGGGAGATTGTTATCTTCATCGTGCAATTCGTGCTGTAAGTAGTAATCGCGACCACCGGTGGGCCTGCCTGGGCCAAGCGGCTAACCACGCTTTATCACAGACGATGCAATGCGCGACTCGGTGACGGCTCGGCTCTCTCCTCTCCGCTCTGGGCCCTCTTTCGCCGCCTCGACAACCTGAAGATGAACGTGGGCGCGCTGAAAAGCGCGCCGGTACAGGCCGGTGGTCGACCGGAGGTCCTACGGACATATGCTGCAGAGTTGAAGGAGACGTGGGAGTGCCTCTGTGTAGAAACGGGGTTGCCCCAGGACCAGAACCTGTGTGCGACTGACTTGCTCGCCCCATCACCTTCGCGCTTCTGGGTCGACGCTTGGTGGCACGCGACATCTGCGTGTATCCACCGCCCTGTCCCTGTGACTAAGCCCATCTGGGACTGGGGACCCCGCAAACGCTCCAAGCCCGGCATGGCAATGGCGTCCATCAAGTTGAACAAACGCGAGTACTTCCTTGAGACATACCGCAGGTCGTCGTCAAAGCCCAAGACTGTCAAATGGGCCGGCAGGGATGAGCAAGGCCACCCCATCATCCTAGAGCATAAACTATCCGTTCCAGACAAAGAGACAGACCTGATACCCCACACGCCACATGGCATGTATCTCAAGGATCGGTCGGTGAGATTTCCGGGCACCCAGGAAGTCGTGGTCAAGGATCAGCATGATCGAATCATATTTGACGGGACCACTGGACCAGAGTACTGCTTTCTCGACGCCAAGTACTCGACCCAATTCCACCAAGATTTGCGTGGGAGAAAAGCAGTTGCTTGCGTCGACGTCCAAGACATCTCCTCTGACGTGTCTGCTGCACACTCGATGAAGATGTACCTTTGGAGAGATACCCAGAGCTCTGACATCCACTTCCACACTCTTTCGTATTATAGCCATAAAGAGCCACAGCACGGCTCACACGGAGTCGACGGCAGAGAACTGGAATTTCCACTACTGTGGCTCCACGGAACCGCCAAGAAAGAGTCCTCAACTTGCCTGCTGTTCCACTTTCAGTTAGAGGCTCGCAGTGACGGCGAGAAGAGAGCAGCTAAAAGGCATTCGGGACTGTCTGTTTCTCTCCCCCTAACTGGTATGTATCCGTCTTGCAGCTCTACGCATGATCTTCACGACTGCTTATGAACCCTTTTAGAGACTAGAAGTGCAGGGGACATTTATGTGCCACCGGTGTATAAAGCCTTTTTAGCCAAGTATAAGTCCCTAACAGTGAATTTTGGACGCGGTACCGGTAAGCCCAAATTCTGTTTTGTGCGCATCTACCGTGTTGTTCAGCAAGATTACTCCCGCATACTAATGTTTGAAGACTGTGATTATTTCAAAGAGGTTTTTGAGAAAGCCCACTACGAAGATTCTCTTGTCCATCTATTGCACTGCTTACCACTCCCGAACCTATCGCTCCGACCAAGTCCGCTACCTAGTATAGCAAGCTCCCGTTCCACAAATAGCTTCGCCACAGCAAGATCAAGTGGAAGTTCCAGCCATGATTGGTTCTCTGACAAATTGTCTCCGACGTGGCTGCATTCCGCTGCTGACCCAATCTCATTTCCCGATCCGTCGATGCCAATCACCGAACCGTCAAAACATATCCTCGAAGGGCCACCAAGAACCGTCAACAACGAACCGTCAATATCGAGACCTATCACCGAAGAAACGACAAAGCCTGACACCGAACACTCTACTCCGTTCCCAGATGGCCACCCTGGAAATATGATTTGACCTTTGAAGAGATTCCTCAAGGATTGTTGGAGTAGACTTGCGATTTGATTCATGGGTTTCACGGTGCAACATGTTTTGTTTAAATAGAGTGCTTCTATGATACCCTCTCACAGCAAGGCCTACGCTAGGCTTTCAGGTAGTGAGCATGCTGCAGAAGACTTGGGCTCAAGCACCACCTGCGTCCATTAGTTTCGCCTTGGCACGATGATTTTGACTACGGACTTCACAAAAAGAAGATGGTAGCAATTGCCTCGTGCATACGGTCACATAATTGAGGAAACAAAATTAGGAATTCCATCTGAGGCCTGACCACGCTGGTCCTTTAATATGTTTTTTCCTACACAGAAAAGTGGCACGTACTTAACTTATACAACATTCAGGCAACAATGTCAAATTTCCTGGTGCGCCTTGACATTCGTGTTTCTCTCTTTCCTCGTTGTCCAGCTCAATTCCTGTATTCTGCCTTGTGGCGGCGTTTCATGATGTCTGAGCCTATAGGAGGGCGCGTTTGCAGAACGTGGTGCTTGGTGAGGCTGAGCACCTTGCTACACCTAAGAGCTGCAAAGAGCTACAAAGAGCATTGAGCCTGCCACTTTCGACAGTTCTCGATATCAGCAAACGCCTCACACAATGTTCGAAAACTTTCATCAAACATATCGTAACCAGGAAGATGCACCATTTGAATACATCAAACTTCTCGGTCGCGGCTCTGGCGGCACAGTGGACGAGGTACGACACAGGACCACCAAGGATATTTATGCGCGGAAATGCATCAATCTACCACCCCAAGCCAAGTCCACATCAAAACAAGAGTGGCGTGCGGCAAAGATGAAAAAGATTGAAGAGGAGGCCCGCATAATCCGACGCCTACGCAATAACCCTCACATAGTGGAAGTCGTGGGAACTTATGAGACTACTGACGGGTATCGGCCTCTTTTCTGTATCATTCTTCTGCCCCTAGCTGAGAGGGACCTTGGAGACATGATTACCCATGTTGCACAGCTACAAGAAGGGGAGGAGAAGAATGACGCTATACGGACTATGAGGCATTGGGGTGCATGTCTCGTGCGCGCGACGAATTACATGCATGAGAGGCGTGTCAAACATAAAGACATCAAGCCAGGCAACATACTCGTTCGCGGTGAGGAGATATGGATCACCGACTTCGGGATTGCCAAGGAATTCTTGGACCAAAACTCAGAAAGCGTCGCCACACACGTTGAAGGCACCCTGACATACTGTCCACCAGAAGCCCTGAATAACAAGCGACGTGGCCGAGCGTCTGACATGTTCTCACTCGGCTGCTGCTTCCTCGAAATGGCTACCGTAATGATCACCGATGGGAAACTCGAGGACCTGAAGCAGCTGAGAAAAGGCAAACCATATGCCGAATCGGAACAAGTCATCTTACGCTGGATATTCTATCTCTTCAGTGTACTAGCCGCTCGAAACCTTCGCATCGCGCAAACAACCGGCTTCCAAGATTCCATGTCGAGTACGTCAAGCGACGCCATAGTCGTTCGCCACGCGGTCCTGTTACCCGCGTTTGCCTTCGTAATGATGGACCCAAACTCCGCCCAAAGAATCACAGCACGACAGCTGGTCATACTAATATCCGTCTTCCAGGAAGACATGTATTGTGCGAAGTGCAAGGTAGGCGTGCCTAAGGAGGACCCAATGCATGGGTTGCACTCTAAGTTCAAATCTCGGAAGGAATCTCCAGAACTAGAGTATCCTCCGAATCCTGAAGATGTATTGAAGCCAGGTTTCCCAGTACCCGTTGATTGGGAGGCCGCGAAGAGGGATTGGCTGAAAGAACATATGTGGTGGTCTTAGACGTTTGCTTAAGTAGTGGCATTTTTGAGGCGTTTGGAATTCAGTGTCCTTTCTTTGTTTCGTCCCACCTGTTCTTTATTTCCTTTTTCCCCCAAACCCATAGAAGGCACAGTGTCCGAATGTACTCATGAAGATTGGTACGAGGGACTATAGGTCCATAACGCCGACTCGAATTTCCGCGATACTTTACCACCCAAGTGCGGCCGATCTACCTCAAAATTCTACTTCGTGATCTGAACCGAATAGGGATGAAGGAGATAATGTTTCGTCTGCTTAGAGCCGACTCGCAGGGAGCATACGCGTTGAGAAAGCACTGCTCGTATTAGCTGTCTTGCAAGAAACTATCAAAATAGGGCAGGCAATACACCAGAAGATAGGCCGAACTCACTCTTCCGTTAGGGAATTGATTGAACGAATCGCTGTCCTTCAGAATAGGGTTTTACTGCTGCTATAAATATGCCCCATCTTCGCCCTGCGTCTCGCTGCATCCGGCTGCTATAAATAGGCCCCATCTTCGTCCTGCGTCTCGCTGCATCCGGCTGCTCATTATTGTCCATTCCAGTCCCAAATAGACGCATCCAGTCAGGCTTAAGCCCGGCGGTGACAGACACTCCACACTAGAGAGTGTAAATGTCCGTCCCGAATTCGTCTTCGGGTGTTCCAAACGTGTAGCGTATTCAACAAAACAGGAAAAATAACGTCGCGTAGATCTTGATCTTTCCTGCTGCCTCGTGTAAAAAAAATCCTACTCTATCGTCTCCTCACCTCTTGCTCCGCGTTGGTGGCATCAGACTTGCTTTCTCTAGCTTGTGCTCCTATTTGTACACCCTAGTGTCGGTAGCCTGTCCATAGGCGCTGTTGCTTGTCTTCCCAAACCGGCAACACAATCCACAATTAGGACATGGGTGGCTTGTGTCCCTGACCGTGTATGCGTTAGTCGATTGTCTAACTCTTTCCGTTGATCCTCAAATTTCCGTAGTAGGTTTTCGCGGTCACTTTCAATCCCTCTTCTAAAACAAACTCGTAGTTGTCTTTCCTAGAACTGCTGATATGCTATAACGCCACGACATCAGCCTATTACATTGGTGGACCGCTTGTCACCAGCATCACCAACAACCGCCTACACACATCTACTACGGGCTTAGCCTATGTTTCCGTCCCACCTACTAGCATTGTGGTTCTTTGACGCTCTAGTGAAACGAGCGAGTGAAAAATCAAACAGCAGAAGAAGAGGCTAATGAGGTTTCGCTTATCGATCAAACGTTGGGCGTCTAAACCGGTCGATTATGCGCTGCATAAGACAACATTGGAATACATTACTGTAACTCATGAACATATAGTTTCGCTAGGGTCCCTCCCCTTTCCCCAACCTTTACATCATGTATGCTTTCGCAGATGTCCTGCTCGTAGGTACTGGTTTTAAATATTTAAAGTCATAGAGTAAGGTGTATTCCACTATTATATGTACTAAAAACTAAAAAGCTGTTATAAAAATTACTAGAGACTTCTAAAGCCTTTACCTATGCGTAATTATAGATAGGAGAACATTTTTATAAACATTGATATAAAGCTTTCTAAATCTAAAGGTTATATGAATATAATAGTAGTTATTAACGACTGAAGTGTAAGAGCACTGTAAGCAGGAAGCATGAAGCGTAGAACGGGGTATAGGGCAGTGTTGATAGACGAATCCTTGAGGAGACTTAGGGTAAATATAGAGAGACAGACAAGTAGGAAAATTGCCTCGATTATATCGGATGCTAAACCCTAGCAGTTACGACCTTATTCCGTCCTGAATGCTGAGCTTGCGACTGCAATCGTTCAGCTGCGATCCTATCACCCCACGTGACCTAATTACCCAAGCTTCCAGCTACCCCGCGCATCGTTGCGTCCCCACCATGCTAGTCCTCCAGACCTGCAGATGCCCATAACTACGCTGCTTGGTTACTACGGCTCTTCGCTTTTCCGTTCGTAACCCTAGTAGAAGTCGTTAGAGACTTTAAACTCCATCTACCTACACACACATATACAATGATTTATGCGCCCTACGATAGACCTACCTACTTATAGTACCATTGCATGACATTCACCTTAGGCTGGTGCATGATACCGCGATTAAGCGTTCTGTTCTTAAGGTCGCTAACTACATGTCTGACTCGCAGAGCAAGTTCATAGTCCCCGCGAACAGTACTGAATTAGATGGTAGAGAGAAAGTGGGACGTGAAGGCATTCCTTTCATTATTGCATACAACAGATACTTCTATAGCACGTCATGAGCATACTTTTAGCGAGGAAATCTAAGGTCATTCTCTGGACCTTGGGTCCAGGTACCACTGTACCAGAACTCTAACAACGGGTCCTCCCGCAAAATCCCTTCAGTCCATCTGCGGAATGTGCAGCCGCAGCTGACCCTTGAAGGTTTCCAATTTTTATTTAGACCTCAAAGTTGGAGACGTGTTCAGCTGTTCGTTGAAACCCAGCCAATCACAATTTCGAAGTGACGACGACAACCCAGTTTCACATACTCGACCTTCCTATTCGGGCATAATAATCAGCCTATTACCGCCACGACTCTCAAAATGCAAGAAGATGTCACTTATTGCACACCCTATATGGATGGGGAGATAATGTATAGCCACTTAATGTAGATTGCTGCAGCACGTGTGAATGCACTTGCATGTCCTAAGAGGTGCCATGGTAAATGTTTCCGGGCAGTTGCGATGAGTGAACGAAGGGGTGCTGAGTATATATAGCGCACGAACAAGTATTTGTAACATTTTGGATTACGTTCAATCTCATTCGGAAACGTCACGCCATGCCAGCCTATCGCTTCCTCACCACTGCGCTCTTCGCACTGTGTAGCAACCCAATAGTCATGGCCGCATCTAATATGGTTCCGAACTATGAAGTCAAACTATTGATGAACCCAACGGCAGTCCTTGGCACCGACAACAAACTCAAGCCAACAGTCCTCTCCACCTTCGCAATGCCAACAAGCGTTACGAAAATGAACGTTCAATTTCTCGATACAAATGCGAAAGATATCTACAACGCCGGCTGGTCCCCACGAATCAGAAAGATGGAAGGCGGTAGTAATTTTGAGTTAACGTACAAGAAAAGATACACGGTGACGAATGATAATATCAATGCTGCATTGACGACGGCGAATGGTGAAGGTTTTGACTCTACGACGACGACCTATGATGCGCAGATTGAGTGGGGGTATCAGAAGAAAACGCTTTCCATCTCGCGCGACAAAACTGCAAGCGATGCAGGGTATAGCGGCACAGATCTACCTGGTACCAGCGCATCACGATCAATGCTCATCTCTGAAGCGCCTGATAAGTTCAACAACTGGCTTGGTAACAACTGGGGCACTGACAGTCTCTCTGTATCTCGAATTTTCGGCCCTGTGCTTGCTAAGAGGAGTATTGGGACGTGGAGCGGACTCCAATTCTACGTTGAGGTCTGGCCAATCAAGAACGCCGCTGGTACAGGGACGGAGTATATTGTTGAAGCGAGTTTCAAGACGGATAGCAGTGCAACAGCGAGTGCGAAGCATGATGAGCTGGTCACGTTCTTGACGGGCAAAGGATGGTTTCTAGCGCAGGACTCTTTGAAGACCCAGCTCATTATGGATAGATACTAAGGCATGAATACTTACTTTGGCTCTGAACTGAAGCTGTTATGAGTAGCTAGAGGTGGAACTGTCATCTTTCTCCAGCAACACTAGTAGATTATGTGGCCCGTATAATTGACCACTGCCATAAAATCCTACAAGAGTACGAAGCAAAAGTGATGCCCTCAAATTAACTTGAATTTTTAGCCTAGTGTAAGACGATATGTGGGTCAGATGGTAAAGCGAAGTATTGATGAAGATTGTACATGTGAAATGTATGACGTTTCATGTCTGTATATGGCGAATATATATAACTTATTCTATCAGTAAGCTGCGCACATTAGGAGGCTACGTGCCTTATAGAAATAAATAGGATAATTTTAGAATATTGTATATTGTAGTCTATTTCTAAGCTTTATCGCTAGCTTAACCTTGTAATTATTTTTTGCGTAGAGTTGATTGAAAACTATGACAAGACTTTCTCTAAGTATAGCTAGATAATAGAGTTAGAATATAAAGGGAAGTTAGAAAGTAAGCACCTAATCAGTAGCAGGGTAAACTAAGTAGCAAGTGAGCTAAAGTTAAGGTAGACGTTATTTTGCTTACAAACTAGAATACAGTGCTAATTAAAAGATAAAGTGGAAGGAGGCTTGTTAGTGGACGATATACGCAGAAAAATAGGCAGCGGGAAGAGGGAATGGTCGACGACTTTCGAGGACCAAGCTTTCCCGGCACGTAAATGAACCCAAAATCCAACACCACTCGAACTGCTCCTACTGGGCTATATTTGGTTAGATGTGCCCTCGGAAGACTGGATCGGATTTGGTCTTATGTATACCACGAGCAAAATGCGGAAGCCCATGAGAGTATTATTTCGGCTACCAACCTGGAGGAATCCTCATTTTCGCCCATTCCTCGATTGGGGTGAGATTCACAGGCAATTCCTTCACAATCGGACCCATATCAATCTTAAAGGGAAGGTCTCCCGCCTCATTGTAATACGTATACGCCTTAAACATCTGGCTTACGATACGCTCAGTCTCCAATCCTCGCCCTTTCATTGTCATGCTGATCTTATCACAGAAATCTAACACAGTCTGACACTCATAGTCCAATTTCCTGCCCCACGCTCGTGACAGTTTTTCGGCGAGCTGCTCCAGGCGCACGGTTTCTGGTCCGCCGACCGCGAAATTTCGTCCCGCGAGTTCCGGCCTTTCCATCGCAGCCACCATGAGCTGGGCAACATCGTGGTGGCATATCCAAGAGACCTCGAGTGTAGGCTTATGGCAGTACACAATGGTGTTTCGGTCGCGAATGGGTGGAAGAGCCCACCCTTCGAGCAGGTTGTCAAGATATACAACTGGTTGAATGCTGATAACTGGAACTCCTGATTCCCGAAGCAAGCGGCGCATCTCTCGTCGATCATCCTGCGCCTTGATATCCTGAGCAACATCTGGAACGGGCATGCTCGTGTTGAAAATAATCATCCCGACACCATTCTGTTTCGCCGCCTGAGCGATTGCTTTCGTGGCAGCAATGATGGGCTCCGCTGGGTTGAACGATGTGGAGGGTAGATTGAGGAAGATAACATCCGCGCCTTGGAGGACTCGCAAAATGGCGTCTTCATCGCTGAAATCTACCGACGCAGTTTCAATTTTCTGGCCACCCACCTCTAGCGGTTTGGGATTGCGACTCACGGCAACAACGTTGTGGCCAGCGCGGGCAAGGACTGGGACTTGATGTGCCCCTTGGACTCCGGATGCGCCGAAGACAACGACGCGCATGACGTTTTTCGCAACAGTTCCGGCGGTATTTCACTTCAGCGAGGGCTTTTTGGCCTATGTAAGTATGGGTTGTGTTGGGGATCATTGTCTTCTGATGTTCCGACTCCGGAGAAGGTTTTCCGAAAGTGCAGTTTTGCCTTTACACTAATAATAATAAAACAGAAGTTATTAAGCATTTTACCTCTAAAAAAATAAATACTAAGCTCTAATAAAATTTAATTAGTTAAAATAATATAACTTAGTAATAAATTAGGCTAAAATAAAGCTAGAAGCATCTAACAAAACAAAATAAACAAAGTTAGCTATAACTGTTTATAAAGATGTTATTACTTTTATATATCTTATACTATATATACACTCTAACTATTATCTTAACAAGATTGTTTCTTCTGCTTCTTATACAGCATAAAGGGACAAACTATAATTAGCCTACTCCTCTTCTAAGCCCTAATAGATCTACTCTAGGTCTGTACACCTCTTAGTAATCTATCCTCCATTCCGCCTCCTCATTCCACCCCTGGGTCCGCGCACCGAACCTTACGTCCTCATTAGCACGTGACTAGTAAGTGAATATTGTAGCAATTAGCTATTAAAGTTACTAGTTTTAAAGGTTTTTTACTAGTAAATTTCGCGCGTGTAGATTAAAGCGCTTAAAAATATTAGCATTTAAAATAATTTTATAGTATGTAGCTAGATTGTTATTAAAATTTAGTAGTTACTTTACTAGACTTAGCTTTTTTAGTTTCCTTAATACTAAAATTACTAACGCTTAGGTAAAAAGCGTTAAGTGTGTTTACTATTTAATGTTAGTTATGTATTCTTATTTACTAGCATTAGACTAGTTATATCTACTTACTGTTACTTATTATTAACTAGAAGTTGCCTGTTAAATAGTTTAATAGTAAAGGAAAGAAGAAAGAGAGGCAATTAGTAGACATATATTAGATGCTGGCCTGTGCGCTAAGCGAGACGTCTGATTATCTCATCTAAGCTTCTGAAAAGGAAGGCTAATACCTGCTCGTTCTGAGGCACCTCACAATGGAACTCGCCCGTCCTTGCTGTTCCCTCACATACGGCTACGTACTCTCCCCAACTTTATCACACCACCTTTATAATTACTATGCGCAATGTTTCTTGCATGTGTATCTAATGTAACCAACTTGTCGATAAGCTCATACCGGCTTTTGCCTCAAAAGTCAACACAATAGCCGAAAAGCACAAGCGGCTTTTGGCAAAGGAAGACGAGCTGCTTATCTAAGTGAAAGAAGGGGACGGAATCTACCATGGGACAGATCCAGACCTTACTCCTAGGAAGAGCCACTGGATCCCTGAAAGTGCACCATTCTACGAAGTTGAAGGGCAGCTTTGACAGCTGAAGTCACGCTGCCTTAGATGGTTTCTGACTCTCATCTCGTTGAAATATTAGTACTGTGAGGTACATTCCTGCTGGGTTACAGATACATATGGCTTGCATGCCAAGTCCCTACCCTTTGCACAGCGAGGTGGAGATTTAACCTTTCCCCCGGTGTAACGGAACACCCCGCGCTCCGGAAGAAGTCGGAGGTACTTTAACTTTTGAGCAATTCAGAATCTGCACACACGTTGATATTTTCAGAGTACTACGATCATTGTGCTCTGTCCCGTATGATGCCGCAACAAAGCCGGTTCAAGACGACGTCGACACGTCATCTTATTGCTATTCTAAACCGGAAATCGGGTAATTTAGAGCACGCAATACTCTCTTTAATGCTTCTAAGCCATCGTGAACAATGTACGCAGTGTAGGAGGCAACCCTGCAATGCATGTCGAACCCAAATGCGCAACTTTGAACGATTTCGGTAATACGCAACCACATAAGTTGGGATCTGACTATATTATTACATAACATTGGAACAGTAAGTTAATTTTGGTCAGAACCTTTTTGACGCCGCCCAGTTTCTGACTGTCGGCAGTCTAACCCCCCCTGGGACAAATAGAAATGCCCCATGTGCGGGAAAGAAACATCAACCAATCAACTCAAATCTCTGCCCCATTCGGAAATCCCATCGTGAGTCCTGCATGGGGAAATCGACGCCAGCAGCAGCCCGTAAATTGCTCGAAGAAGCTAAGACCTGCCTAGAAGGTTTGGGGGTGGGGAAAGCGGAAGGCTTTCTTTTGGGCACATATCACAAGACCTCATTATTGAGTGACCACGCGGATCTTCGAAACTCGTAACCGCCCTTAGTTTTCTTCGAATTCTTCGCTTTATCTGTGGCAAGATAGGCACCCCAGGAGTCGTCCAGCTCTTCTTTGGCAGGTGCCGGCGCTGGCACTACCACTGGCTCTTGTTCGGATTCCTCGTACGCCACCTCAACGGCGACTGGTGTTTCCGCAGGATAGCCATTCGAAGCGGGTGTCGATGACCGGGTCTCGCGCAAAGAGACATCGTTTTAGTCCTCATCATCACCGGGTTGAACATCTGTGAGTGATAGCATGAGTATATTTGTAGCAGCCAACGGGTTCAACGTCAAAATTTGCCAGGTGACAGTCGCACTAACCGAATTATGACACAAACGAAGATGGGCTCTCGCCTGGGGTAACGGAACGATGCTTGCCGGGCGTTTGAGATCGCGCAATCCGGCGTCAAGGACAGCCAGTTTCTCAGCACACCGCGCCCGCTCGGCAGCGGTCTCCTCGCTCTCTGCCGCGAGATGAGTAATTTCGTCTTCTGTCAGATCATACACCATTTCCGGGTTGAACAAGGACGGTAACTTTCGGATAAGGCAGTGTTCGATGGCGAGAACGCTGATGTCGTCGATGAACTTCTTCAACGCAACCTACAAGTATATGTCAGCATCAGTGAGTGACCTCGCTGGGATGTCAATGGAATCAGTGGAGCAGCTAGGGGGCGCGAGAAAGGGAATCAGCAGGGTAGGGACAGTTCACATCAGAATGAAGTTCCCTTCTCGAGACGTGGGTACTCTCTCCCTAGATACGGAAAGCCCCAAAGCTGTACACATTTAGTGAACTGTGTGCCATGCACTCACCTTATAGTATGCCTGCATATAGTCAACAGCGAGATCACTTGCGTAGTGTTCCATGTCGACTTCGATGCGTTGCTCGAGCAGGGTTAGGAGTTTGAACGGAACTACTCGATGTTCGCGTCCCTCCTCAATGCTGCCGATCCCAATAAACTCTTTTAGAGTCTTTTCGAAGCTACGCCGGCGTCTGTCGGACTGATTTGTTTTGTACGTTATCCGTCAGATAGTGGTTGTAAGTGATGGGGTGACCGTTGCAATATGGGTCGAGCAATTCGGTCACCTTCTCATTGAGGCCACTCTTCGGAGTGTCAATCCCTCCGCTGATGACCTGGAATATACCATCTGCGGTCTCATCAACAGCGATGTGATCAAGGATGACCTTCGTCGCCCGATAGACTGCTTGAAGGATAACGTCCTTTGCACCCATGGCGATGCCTCTCCATGGTTGGCACTGCTCGATGAAGAGCTCGCCAATGATAAGGGGGTTGAACGTGCCCGGGAGCTCGCAGCCTCTGCTTCTCCACATTAGGTCTCTGACTTCGTTGATGTAGTCCGGTCGGGAGATCTCGTCTGATGTGAGGACCTGACACTTCAATGAAGGTTCAATGATGACCCGAGTTTGACCCTTCAACCGCATGTCCTCTCTGAAGTCAGTTAAGGTGTTCTGAGCAACTGCTCGCAGGCGCTTCTGGTATCCCTCCTCGGTTTTCGCGCTCCCGAAGAAAGGGTCATTGTATATCCCGTCCACGGCGGCCTTCATCAGGACTGAAAGTCCTGGTTAACTCGAAGTAGATAGCGGCGTTGCTCCTCAAAAGTGGCACGTAGAGTACCGAGGCGGTTTAGCCGGCCCTAGCACTCCGAAATACCGGATTCGACATCCTGAAGAAGGCTTGGTAGCTGACGCAAGATCTGGTCTTTCAAGATATTGCTCAGTCGGGGTTTCAACGATTTCACCCTGAGGCTCGTTCGACCAATGGATGTCCAGATTCCGGTTGCAAAGAAGTTCTCCTCGGCTTCATCACGCTCGGCAGAAGAGGCGTCCCTCATCTCGTAGTTTCGATTCTTGAGAACGTGCCAGCCAGGCCGAAACACCACATCCTTATTTTGAGCCATCTTAAGATATGAAGCCTCGCTGTTGGATCCGGCGTCCAGGGAGTCCGGCTTCGTGATAAGCCCTAAGGTGCGTATTCCTTTTGGATCAAGTTCACGAGCCAATTCGGTCACATCCTGAAGGGAAAATTCGCTCTTCGCAGAAACGACAGCCAGGATAATGCTTCGGGGTCTTTTCATGTAGCCGCGGACCATCTTTCTGACGGCCGCAGCGTCATCGATTGACTGCTCTCTGTTCCCCGCCCGGAAGAGACCTGGAAGGTCGACCATAGTGAGGTGCGGTTGAGCCGGTCCGCAGAGCTCCACGCGAAGAGTGTCAGTGCTAAACACTTTGGCGTCAGACAGTCCCATCGCCTCCTTGGCCCCGTCGACGACGCTTCCGAGGTTGGGGTTGGCGATATCAATTTCAGGATGGAAACGAGAGAGTCGCTCCCTTTCATTCCCAGATCTCTCGGGACCAGGGTTGATAGAAACCTTGACTCCGGGAGTGGCGTCCCGACGAAGGACTAGTTCCGTTGCGAACCGTGTACAAAGGCTGTCCTTGGTGGGAAAGGACATTCCTGAGATGGCCTCGAGGACGGAACTCTTCCAAGCTGACTGGTCACCGCAGACGATGATCTCTGGCAGGTCAACATATCTGCTGATGCCTCTAGAGCGAAGTTTATCGATAATGTCAAGGAGGTCTCGGCGATCTTTGGATTGAAGCGCTATTGAATCCATAATATATGATCTCAAGTGATTCCCTGGTTTCAATAGAGGAAGGTGCCTGTGAAGGTAAAGAAGGGAAAGTAAAAGGAGAAGGTGCCAGCGGGGATGTCGCGCAGGACCAACAGTCTGTTAACTCATACTACATGACGAACGAGGAGAGCTAATCACAAACTGCCACATTAAGCTGCTTCTGCCTTCAGTCCCAGTTGGCTGAGGAGACGATAGGTTACTAGATTTCCGGTCAAGCTTCTTCTGCCTTGTTTGCTCAATATCGTGTTCCAACTAGTTAGGAGCTGGCACCCCCTAGTAAGCTGGCAGCCTCAAAACCCACCAAAAAAGGGGGAAAATCGTACCTTAATATTTCAACAACGGTGTAATAATAAATTCTAAAATTTCATAGTTAGCCTTTTATACCTAATTTGAGACTCTTATTAGATTTTAAACGTCGAGGCAGTGCACGCGAAGGCGCTGAATGGGCTCAGCCCTAAGAGCATCCCAGCGCATCCCAGCGCCAGTAGGTTATCCCTTCGATCTTCCAACTTCCAACAACACTGCTCTAAACAATGAAATGCCTAGTCAGTTTACAGCTGCACATTCCCAAGGAAATCCTCGTGCCTCCCTGGCTGTATGCGAAGCTCTAAGCTCGAAAGTAGTTGCCATTTTACTGGTGGGAGTTAAGATTGGCAGCCTGAGTCCTAGCACTGCTCCCAATCCTGAGCCGGATTTACTTATCTTCCGAGCGCTTGTGCAATCCGCACAGCCACAGATCTTACAGTAAATTACCCACGGATGATGAGGCGGGACGTGCGGAGTCATGCATTAGCGAGGATCAGCGGGTCGCCTCCGTCGGAAGTACCAACGGCGAAGCGACACTGCATGAATTTGGCCGCGACCGTGCGCACAAGGCTTATTATGACTTCCGAGCATCAGAGGGAGGTTCTGAGGCTCGGACAAGACTATTCTACGAGAATTTGGAGTTATAGAGGCTTGTTGTTGGCGCTGTGAGGAGGGAAGTCAATTTCGCCACGAAAGTAGACTCTCCGCAAACCAGGACCGAATGCGACGATGCAAACGTAACTTAGAAGTGGGGGGTATCCCAAATGCTCCAAATTAGCTATAGTACACGACTTAACAAGAAATATAGCAAAGCTCTTTGTGCGCGCTGAGTTATGGTCGCTGGAAGTCGAAGTATCCCTTATATTTTCCGGCACGGTGGGTTTTCCGGCACGCCAGGAGGGACGTTACTCGAGTTTGCTTTCTAACCTTGCTTAGCCATTATGAGTGTCTTGTTTCCACGACGATAGTTGGGATCGAATCGTTCCGTGCTGGAGAGATATAAGGGTTCGTATCCGACTGGCTACCCTCTGCTGCGTTAGGTAAAGAAAATCTTAGGATCTTTAAGATCTTATTTAAAAGGTTTTAAAAAAGCTAGCCTAATGCCTCTCTTAGCTATAATAGCGTTTTGTTCTAGCACTATATTCTACACTGTAGCTAATTAAACCTATAGTTCTATTATCTATTTTGCTACCTCTTTCTCTTTTTATAAAAGTACTGTTATTCGGGGTCGATTCCTTGCGATCCCGGCTTAAGGCTCTCTCCAGAACTAGTAGGAGCGAGGGGCGAGCTAGAAAACATGTGAGGGGCCACACAATTCGTGATACACGAGCGTTGAGGGCCGATGCAGTTTATTTTCTAGCTGAAGAAGAAAAAAGAAGAACCGGTGTGGGCGTAAACGAATCTGTTCCCCGGCGTGCGAGCTCTGCTTAGTAAGTCGGCGTCAGGCGCAGCCGATGCCGATACCAGGCCTCAGCCTGCGACAGTACATGGTTGCATAATAACTAACTTACTATAAAGAATTTAATTTGGTAGGAATTTTTTTCTTCTTATATACTTCTTAGGTTCTAATACCTAGTTTTACTTAGTTTTCGCTTTATCTAGCTTTATTTAGAGTGCCTAGTTGTAACCAACCGCATCCCACCCCTTCTGGCGCGCCAAGATGTGCATGTTTATCGATAACGGTCCCAGCTGTGTATTGTCTCTATCAGCCCCTGAATGTTTGCTACTAGCAGGGGAACACAAAGGAATGTACCGGCAGCTGGAGTGGCACCTACAATGGTAGATTGCGACTGACTCAACAATTACACGGTCGAATTCAGCTTTTTGGAATGCTGGATGAAAAGGAAAACATCGGGTGTTGGGGCGGGATCCAGTTGGGTCGCAAGAGATGGGAATACTACTGCACTTCGCAGGGCTTCTTATCAATAATTCGAGACTTGAACTTTGGTTCACTTAAGTCAGAGGAGAACGTCCTATTTCAAGGTCGAAAAGAGAGGCATAATAAGGCGTTGAAGTCGAATCGTTTGCCGATGTGGGGTGGCGGTGGTGTGTATTTTCCGAGTGCGCTGCGTTCGGATTTGCAATTTCCCTGATACAGATGACACTTGATTTACTAGAGCCAGATATATTGCACAAGAAGTCAAAGCATGGCATCCTATTCTCTCTAGATTTTTTTATTAAAGCGCCGTTTTAAAGGGATTCTCTTCCTCGAATTCAACGAGAGTCTAATGGTGTGTGATGGAGAAGCACCCCTTCAACATATTATCCCAAATTGACGTCTTCGGTACAAATATCCTGCCTCTTTGATCACTGGTGTAGTTCAGAGCGTGTCGTTTCGTATTGTATGTGCCAAACAATTCCCTATATCCCCCAGCATTAGATTCATTATCATAAAAGCGTTGTTCACTAGTCATGCGTAACCAGAGAGTTAAGAAACTTTAGGTCACATAAAGGTGTCAGAAATTACAGAACAAAGCTGATACAATATAGATAAGCTTCTAACACCAGTATCGAGGTATTTTATCACACTATATCTTTGGAGCTGTTGAATGGCCTATCCTTCGTTCACTGAAGACAGATAGGGGTTTGGTCGAAGGATTGGCCAGAAGGGTTGTACGTACGTACGGGTTGGCCGAAAAGGCAAAAGACTGAAAACAAAAACAAGTATATATTTCTAACTGATGAATGAGTGCTGCACGAAGTATCCCTTTTATCCCTATCCATCTGATCCGTGCGTAGCCCCTTTACTGGAGCTACTGATACGCACGAGCACTAGCACTAGCACTAGCTCTACTCGTTATGTCTTCGACATAACGAATAGTGCACGCGTGTACATGATCATAGTTGATGCTGGAAAACTCACCGAACCAACAGGAACATTACTAGTGCCTATTGCTCTACTAACCTCACTCGGTAGGTGCCTCAATAGTATAAAGCGTTATCTCACCGCTCTCGTTCTCTTGCACCTCGAAAGGCTTTCGATTCTGAAAACTGCTCGAGACGGGAATTCTGGAATTATCTGTAGTGACATCAGTGGAGAAAAGGAAAGAGTTTCACAAATAGGAATAGGTAATGTAGTATGGTTCTGCACAGGAATTGGAACAACTTACTCCACTCTTTCCCATCAAAAAGTAACTGTCCAATCCCCCGGTCCTGCCCGTAGAAAAGACGCAATGGGCCATTCCCTTTATACGCTGCCAAAGGAACGGGACGGCTTGCTTTATGGAAAGTCGCCCCAACTTCCCAGGCTCCTTCCAGACCATCAGATAACACCTCCCTTATTTTCTTGTCCTCCCCTTGATAGTATACTCTCAGGTTACTTCCGTCCCACAAGGCGGTCATATAGCTGTCTTCAAGCACAGGCAATTTCAGCTTTTGAAGGAGGCCAGGCTTCCATACCGCATCCAAAAGGTCGAACTCGTAATTCTGGAGGATCGAATCGAATGATACGCAGAAGATAATACGCTAGAGACAAAGAAGTGTCAGTTCAACTTAATCTTGCAGATCAAATGGCATCGAAAGAAAAATACGTCAAAGAATGTTTAACAAACATTGTCGGCATAGTTGCTACGATACATTACGTATGCTGCAGGAGTATATTCTATTGCGTTGCCAACGGTTACCCTAAGGCTCCAGTGAAGAACGTCGGTTTGGGTGTTTGTTGTCAGCTCAGAGTTACCAGGGGCCTGATACACGAAGGATGTGGTTCCCTCATGCTCGACACGACAGATCGCATTGACTGGGAGTTTGATATCTTTTTCTTTAATGACAGCCATAACATGACCTTGTGTTCGTTGTAAGGTTGTTCGCGCAGTGGTGATACCCGCTCCAAGGGTCGTCCAACTCCGTTTGATAGAGTTCCCGTCAGAGCCTCGTGTGTATGAATAATCGCAATGTATGATGAATTCTAGATTATGGGCTATATTCTAGGTTGCATAGACAAATTTCTCTACTGACTCGCAATATGCAGGCAATCGAGCGATCAGAACCGGGACTCTCGGATCAAACTTTCGGCGGCAGGGGAAAGCGAGAGGCTGTGAAATGTGGTCAGCAAATATTTTGCGCGCATAAAGTTGTCTTCTAAGCACTCAGCCTTTCCCCTTTTAATTTCTTCAGCTACCTACTCGACCTATGTAATTTATTCGGACCCTAGTTCTCTTGTATTTTCTGCAGCTTCATTCGAATCTGCAGTGATCCAATATATGCGGTGGCTTGCTGGGTCGGCCTCAGAAAACACGCAAGCCGAGCCGCACCTACATATCATCGATAAGCAAGACTACTAAGATATCAACTTTACACTTCCATTTATGCCGCTAACCTGTGTAAAATAATTTTGGATTACATAATCTCGCTGTATTTAACTACTTTCCGTTCGATGAAGACTACGTATTAAGCTAAGGAGAACGCGGGTGTTTTATCTTTTTCCTTCAGCTCCTTGAAAGTGATTCCTTCCTCGCCCCCTATCTCGCGCCTACGATCACATGCAAATATAGGAGGCATGGTAGTATGAGAGAACGCAAGTACCTGGACTTCTTTCTCATTCAAACTCGCCGGTTTCATCGCTGTCATACGCATGTCTGGCGTTCTAAGCAAGTAGAAACCTCCTCGGCTTTTGTTGCGAAATAGTATCCACCCTACTGGTCCAGCAGCTGCATCTAGTATCTCTTTTGTCCAATCGTAACAACGAAGGAGATGACTTCGATCGCTCGGAGTATTTGCGTTTACTTTCGTGTGTCCTAGGAATGACTCTGTGCCAGTGATTCTGACCACGTAAATATACTTCCCCCAGTCGTAATCATCTTGACCCTTCTTGGCTTCCTTCTTGCAAAGCGGAGCCTGGACCGGAATGATATCGAATTTTGGGACATCTTGCCCTGGGAGCAGACAACACACAACGGGTCTCGGCTCACAGGCTTTTTCACTACCTTGGCTAGAAGGACTCGAGACCTTGAGATAACGTTTCTCCGATTGTATAGTTGCGTAGATGGGGATGTTGAGGGGGAAACCCTCGATCCATGTCGCCATGACCAGTAGGACATCTTTCGTTAGTCTTGTGCATCGAGCCCCAGTAAGTTTCTTCTTCCCTTCTGTATTCCCTGCCTGGCTGGGTTCTCTACCATAGTTACTATTGTCGCATAAGCGTTAGTCGAGACATGTATATGTATTCTAGCTATTAGGCCAACTTACTGAATGCCAATAGCGGTATCGCAACCCGCATAGTCGGTCCAAATGGGCCCTCCGCTGAGCCCAGGCTGTGCATTGATACGGTAGGAGATCTGTCTCTCAGAGACCTGTTCAAATCTTCCACTAACCTTAGCCAGCCCCTTTTCGCCCTCCGCTCTGTAGCCAACTATGTTGGCTTCTGTTGCTCTGTCCTTCAACACTGAGTCGGGGATGATAGCACTGAACGCAAATCCTCCCACTTTCTCGCCGTCGAGGACAATAAGGCCGTAGTCATCAGCTTCTTTACTGGAATTACTTTTATATTCTTCTGAGACAAAAAGCTGTCGATCTTCAGTCGCAACTATAGGGTCGATTTTCGGTACAAGAAGCTCCGAGAAGGATATTCTGATCGAATGTACGCGTTTTCCCCCGTCAAAAATATTGTGACCAGCGGTAACGATTATGAGCTTCTTAGCAACATCGCGGAAATTTACGAGAAATCCAGTTCCATACAGGGGTGCTATCCTTGCATTAGCACGTATCTTAGGGTGGAAGAAATCCTGGGGACTAACCGCTATCCGCTGAATCTCTATATATTTCCAGACAGCAAACCCATCTGTCTGAGCTTATTCGAAGCTCCGTTTCCTCATCAGAAGGCATCTTTAGATCCTTAGCCAACAGTAGTGATTAAACTGCAATAAATTTACTGTGCTGTGAATAGGACGATATATCAAAACTAGGGGTTACCTGATTTACTAAAATATCAGTCCGTTCCACTTATTTAGTCAATCTTAATAGAGCAATTTCGTAACTAGAACACGTTAGGAATCCAGACAAATCACCAGGCTATCAAGTGTCATAATCAATGTCGAATAGGGAATGATTGGCGAGATAAGCCGCATTGGCCAGTAGGCTAGCCTAGGCTAGAACTGCGAGGATATGCACGATTATGCAGAAGTCCATTTCCGTATCCAACTCTAAAACAAGTTTACGTCAATAAGTCTACTATTTTTTGAGGCCAAAATGAAGGAGAGAAAAATTTGCTCACTTCGGGTAGGGCAGCTCCTGGACGTTGTTGGTGTCCGCTCCTCTGGAACTTGACCCTAGCATGCAGGCCACGCTGAACTAGTGAGAGAATCTCGTATAGCTTAAAAGTCGGGACGTGCATATCGATGCGTATTGAGTCTAAACATATAAGCGATGATACTGACATCCGCAAATGGAACCACATGCGTATCGACATGCCGTCGAGACGTGCTGAAGGAGACACTAAGATAAGCCACCCCCCGACCGCCACCCCGCTCGACCGCCATCTGTGCGCAATCGCGTCGACTTCGTAATCTCCCATTTTGAAAGACGCGTTTCTCATTCATTTCTGCTTCAATTCCCAAAAAATTTACACCGTTGAATTCCTTGGCTTCAGCAATGCCGGGATGGACAGACTCGCGGTGCAAAACGGACTTGCACCTGCGGCAGCCTGACATTAGCAAGCCGCTTAACAGCCAATGGGCGACTAAGGAAGCTGCCCCGCCGCACAAGGAGCCAGGCAAGACGACTCCCTTGAAGAGAAAAGCATTTATTTGTCTACTAATTCCCCGCGGCGGCGTCGAGCTGCTCAAGCACTTCGGCAACGGGCGGGGAAAATCAACACGGGACACGCAGATGGTCGTGCGCAAAGCGGCAAAGAGCATTGACCAAAAAAACACGGAGTTGGCCATTCTATAGATGGAAAAGAAGGCCCTCGAGCGAGAACTCGAAGATCCAAGGCCAACAAAGAGGGTTAAGGATGGATGGATGGATGTCTTTATTACGCCCGGCTCTAGCCTAGAGGGCACTAGTAGTTTATTACATAAGCAATTCCTTAGTAATAGCATACCTCCTAATAGCCCATACATGTAAAATATCTATCTCTCTGTATTTTCCTAGCGAACTCTCCTATACCTCTTGTATTTAGTAAGTAGCAAGTATTCTTGAGGCTCTCTCCTCTAAGTGTTCAGTGTCCCTTTGTCAGCGAATGAAGCGGAACCTGCTGGCGTATAAGTGTTAGTATAGTGTAGGATTATTCTTAAA